GCTCTATCCCCACTGCTGTCTGACCCTTGGGGCTTTAATCTCCACCCCAGCTTGACTTCACGCTCTGCCTGTGCTGCTGGCATTGTGAGTGACATGTGCTCGAATTGTTTTCAATGGCAGGATGGATGTGCTCACAGCTCCTGACAGCACACAGCCCGTAGCAGTCACGGGACCCCAGTCTTTTGATGCGTCTGTCCATTAAAGTGCGACATCAAAGTGACAGAGGCCGGGCAACCAGCCGCTCCAGAACAAAATGGTCCAGCAGCCTCTGTTAACAGAAAAACATCTTCTGACAGCAGTAATGGGACTGCAAAGCCAGTCTGGGATCAAGAGTGTTGTGATAGACAAAGCCAAGGCAATGGAACCTTCACTGCAAGCTGTTAGCTCAATTGGTCCTTACGGAATTGATGTTTTAAATGCATTAAAAACCCATTTAGAGGTTAAGACCAGATCCCCAAAAGGCATTTAGGGGCCTAACTCTGATTGATTTCAACTGGAGTTAGGTGCCTAAATATCTTTGAGGATCTGGCTCATAGGCCCTGATCCTGCAATGTGGGAGACCACGCATCTCCGTTGACCTCTGACCACCAGCCCGCTGCTGCTAGCAATACTGGGATGCAGCTTTTTAAAGCTAGACAGTGAACTTGTAAGAACCAATCCCGTCATAGCAGAGACATGAACCCACTGACCTAATGAGTCTATTCCCATTCCAGTATCCAGAAGTCTACAGCCTTTAATTAGGAGGTGAAAGTATAATCAAGAGCAACCAACTTGCTTACATATGTCTAAGCAAACAAGTCATGAACGGGGACAAAGTTCAACGGTTGCCAATAAGCTTCCAGTCTGTGGGCTATGTACAATATCATAGGGGAATTCCAATCACTTTGCTATATCTTGCCCTCTGAAAACAGTCTAAGGTTGCAGGAAGAAGAAATGTTAAAGGAAAAAGTTGGGAATTTTAGGTACCAAACCAATAGTAGGTGGATTACACACACATTTCATCAGAAATAGAAATGTTCATGGATTTGATTCGATTAAACACCTTGAACCGGATTCTTAATTTCATTTTACATCAATGTAACTACATCTGTGGCACAGCAGTTTCTTCTGATTTGCACCAGGGGGAAAGGAATCAGATCAAGCCAAACATCAGATCAAGTATTTCCACAAAAAACAACGGGTCAGATTTAAGAGATTTCTAGTGTAGATTGCAACCCAAACACTACTTCTTTGTGGTAGTACCTGACAGTGAGAGAAGTGGTCTGTATTCATCCTTGGAACCCACTGAGAATTATGGGGGTGGGGGAAGTAAAATCTAAACTACTGTGATCTGCCTTTATAACAGAAATCAGTTCTCCTGGTCATATTGCCAGTGCTCTGGTCATTGTAAAATCAGTAGTTATTTGGGCACAGCACCGAAAAGCATTATTGAAATGCTTGGCAATTTGTGTTGATAAGGCCTAGAACTGGGACTCAGAAGACCTACAGTAGATCCTCAAAAAGTTACGAACACCTCAGGATTGAAGGTTGTTCATAATTCTGAAATGTTTGTTACTCTGAACAAAAAGTTAGGGTGGTTCTTTCAAAAGTTTACAACTGAACATTGACTTAATACAGTTTTGAAACCTTACTGGGCAGAAGAAAAATACTGCTTTTAGCAGTCTTAATTTAAATGAAACAAGCACAGAAAGTTTCCTTATCTTGTCAAATCTTATTTTTTTTTAAACTTCCCCTTTTTGTTTACATTTAACACAGTACTGTATTTATTCCCCCCCCCCTCCATTGCTGCCTGATTGCATACTTACAGTTCCAAATGAGTTGCATGGTTGACCAGTTCATAACTGGTGTTCATAACTCATTCTATTATAGGTTCATTTCTCACCTCTACCACAGGCTCCCTGTGTACTGCCAGGCTGTTATAATAAATAATTGTGTAGTTCTCCAATAGCCGGCGGTTGGGGGCCATATTACTACATAGATCCCACTAAAGATGGCCCTGCCAAATCAGAAGGACCTTCAACTGCTTTGATAATGTGGTCTACTGGTATATTGTGTGACAAAGTTCCTCCTCTATCTTGGTGGGTCCTGTGCTTATTGGTGGATTTTCTTGCCTCAAAGATTCACCATGTGGGTTGGGGAACAGCCCAGAGACCTTCCCCTCTGGGAGAAGGCACAGTCCAGGTCAATTGGGAGGTTTGGGGGGAACCCAGGCCCACCCTCTACTCCGGGTTCCACCCAGGGCCCTGTGGACTGCAGCTGTATATGGTGCCTCCTGTAACAGCTGCATGATAGCTACAACTCCCTGGGCTACTTCCCCATGGCCTCCTCCAAACACCTTCCTTATTCTCACCACAAGACCTTCCTCCTGGTGTCTGATAACGCTTGTGCTCCTCAGTCCTCCAGCAGCACACCCTCTCACTCTCAGCTCCTTGCGCCTCTTGCTCCCAGCTCCTCACACTCACACCACAAACTGAAGTGAGCTCCTTTTTAAAACCCAGGTGCCCTGATTAGCCTGCCTTAATTGATTCTAGCAGCTTCTTAATTGGCTCCAGGTGTTCTAATTAGCCTGCCTGCCTTAACTGGTTCTAGCAGATTCCTGATTACTCTAGTGCAGCCCCTGCTCTGGTCACTCAGGGAACAGAAAACTACTCATCCAGTGACCAGTATATTTGCCCTCTACCAGACTCCTGTACCCCACTGGTCTGGGTCTGTCACACTTGTTACATCCTAGAGGAAATAGATTCTTGAAAAGATGCTGTAGCATCAATAAAGCCTTGCCTACTCACTTCACAATTCTTTGCTTTTATACTTAAAAAAAATGTATTTTTTGCAATACTGAAAGTCCTGCAGCAGCTCTGCATTTCAGCAGACTTGGGAGTGATGGGTGCTGTGTAGTCCAGGCACAAATGCACAGCCCAACATAGAGCCAGATGTCAAACTGGGGACATCTTTGAAATTGACAGCAGCAGCTGGCTACTCTCAAGGACTTCCACATCCTAAAGAACTGCCGTAGGGTGTGTGTCATGTCAATGCTATCGAGAACATTTCTAGGCTATGCCATCTTTCTGACAGTCATAACCCTGGTTTGAAAGAGTCCAAGAGGCGGTGATAGATAAGGTCCCATTCATAGATCCAAAACACTTGTACAAAGATCCACTGGAAAAGTTGTGCTTTACTTTTGTTTCACAATTATCTCCATCTTTTAAAGTTAATGCCAACCCTCTAAAAATGAATCTGTGCTTTGAATGCACGAAGCTTTTGTACATCAGAGTCCCCACTGTCTGCCTGCTATTAGTGCCTGCATTATGCCAGGTTTGCCCACAAAACACCATCCCTACCCTAGAGTTTGTAATCTGCGAACACAAGCAGATAAAGATACAAATTACTTTTAAAAACAGAATGGTTTTATGCATCACCCCTCTCCAGGCAATCCTCTATCTAGCTTGAATTAATTGGCCAATTTCTTCTCAATACACACTTTAGCTATGACAACAACAGTTAGAATGCTGTGCCTGATCTAGTCTGTAATGCTGCTAACTGTTGTCTAGAGTCTAGACTGTGAGCTCTTTGAGGCCGGGATGTTGTCATACTCCCTGTTTCTGAAGCATCCTGCAGTTGGTGTGCTACACAAATAGGAATAGCTTCCCCATTAAAAGCCATTCTTAATCATGCAGTAGTAACCCTTTTCTCTCAGCATGCTTTTTCGTGATTCATGTTTCTCTGGAGTGTAGTCATTGCTAAAGGCCAACTAAGGTCTGAATCTGCAAGTAAGGTTAAGCTACTAGAGAAACAGGTGTGGTTTTAGGGTGGGAAGGGATTTCACAATTCGGTCTGAGATTGTACATTTGCTAGTGTGACATGCAGCACCCAAGACCAACAGGAGAAGGAAAAATAATTTTCAGTCCACTTTAGTCCCAGTGCTGGCAAATGCACAATTAGTTCCTCTTGGTTGTGTAGGTCCTGAATATAAAAATAGGGGAGAGAAAGAAGGGAGTGATTGTAAAACCACAAAAACTGCATGGAGACTTGAGGGAAGGAACAAAACCTGACACTACCTATTAAAATATAAGCATTATGATTAGCTTCCTAGTGGAGTCTCTAGACAAGTAAGGATCTGCATTGCTTCGAGATGACCAAAGAGTTTCCAGTCCAAGAACTGGATCTTATCAAAACTTGTCTAACTCACAATGCGGGTTCTAAGGAGCAAGGGTGGTATCTTCTCCTTTTGTACAGCCAAACAAGGTGGGAAAAGTAACATCTTTTGTTGGACTAGCTTCTGTTGGTGCAAGAGAAAAGCTTTCGAGCTCCAGAGTGCTCTTTTGTAGAGTGCCAAGCCCACCAGCGTTGGATGCTACCTAGTTGGGACTTTCCAATGAAGTCACACTCCTGCACAACTATCCAATATGCACAGTTGCGACCCCATCGCAGAGATGAAGCTATGCCCCCTTCACACTGTATGGCTGGAAAACATGAATGCATACAGCCACAGCGTGTGTAGGCCTGAACAGAAGGGGAGAAAGTTCTAAACAACCCCTCCCCTTCAGCAGTTGTTTGTGGCCCTCTCAAGCACTTAGCATCCTCAGTTGAGATTCCTCAGAATGAAGTGAGCTCAGTATTCAAAATTGAGGTTTAGTACAAAAAAACTGGAAGCAGCTCTTGGGGGGACAAACTACTGCTGAAAGGGAAGCCAAAAGCGTTAGTCCAGGCAACATTTAAAGGTTATTCTTCCCCTTACTATCATTAAAATGGGAAGGGAAGGGAATAACTTTAAGCCATTTCCACCTACTAATTTCTTGCCTCCTAGAAACTGTTTTCAAAAGTGAATAATGTGATTCCGGGTGACAATTTTTGGGTGCCCAAGAGGCCATAATGAGTTTCATCACTAGATTGCTAGTAACATTTTGACTGCCATTTACTGAAAGGTACCTGACAAATCAGTGAAACTGTTCACGCCACAAGGCATTTTCTAGTCAAACCAGAAGAACACTGGGAGGACGTGGTTTCTCTTTAGTAATGAAATAATTTATTATCTAACAGTTGAACAATACAGAAGTATACATATACACAGCAAGGTCTTCTAAAACATGTAGTTTCTAAAAATGCATGTGCTAACTGTAATAAAAAGCACCATTATATGGTCTTGACACAGGATTCATAATGATGTGGTATTTACATTAGGAACTTAACATCTGGAAACAGAATTCATATTCTCCCATCTGCTTGCTCCCCTGTTTAGTCCGTTTACTATTTGGAAGACTGCCAAAAATAAAACTGATGGTTCAACAGCAGTGTTGCTAAGAGCACCAACTTGAGAAAGGGAGATAGGCAAGTTTGGTTCTTTTATCAATTTGGGAGAAAAAACAGCACAAATAGAACTGGTCAAAACCCCAGGTCGCTTAAGGTTTGGGCACTTTAGAAGATATAGGTACTTGGAATTTTTTTTTTTTGCGCAGTCATACAACAGCTATTCAGCAAACAGCAACTGGGTAGAGCTGCCTCCGAGTTTATTCTTTCACCTGAACAACATGGTACAAAAAACCTTCTTCCAAATAAAAAAAAAGAGGGATCAAGTTTATTACACCCCAGATTTAAAAAATAAAACTGGCTATAGCATAGAGACGTTTGAACGCTAGATGACTATTTGGGGCTGGAATTTTTTGGTGATTTCTTCCATACCCCAGAGATGTCTACTCAGCTAGCTATTCACACAGCTGTCGCATGTTTCAGTAATGCTTGGGACCGAGGTACCTGTTTCTACTACTAGACAGTATAAACAACTTGCAGACCAAGCAGCAATTAAAAAAGCAACAGAATATACACTTTCAGGGGAGCAGATACATAGCCTGGCAAAAGCAGAATTCTTCCCAATACATTACAGTGTCAAAACCTGAAATTTATTACAAAAGGGGCAAAAGAAGAACTCAAAGCCCGAACGTATTGCTAGATAATATTTCAGATGCCTGTTTCATCTAGTTCACACACTTTGAATGAGCAAGGAAAAGCCATCATACATTATAACATAGGGCTCTCTCTTGGCTAGGTTGGTAGGCCTAATGCACAGATTTGTAGCTCTGGAGTGACATCAGATATAGGGCTCTCTTTGTTTTCAGAGCCGATATAGAACTATAGTGGGTTTAGGACCGGGGGAGAGAAGTGCCTTATTAGAGAACAAAGTGCTAACGTGGCAACTGGCAGACCATGGCCTGTTAACGTCCAGAGCTCTGAAGTGTTTCAGATCATCTTATAAGATGTTGTGAAGTTAGTGGCACCTACAGGGCTGCTCAAAAAAGTGCTCTTTGATTTTTCATCATAAATTGGAATTAGCAAGGACCCTGGAAATTCACAAGATGTGACTATCAGCACCGTGAAGAGTTGAAAGCTCTGCTTTGTAGAAGCAATTAGATTCTGGGTGCTCAACACTCAGGAAAACAAGCTCAATAGGTACAAACAGTACTTGAAGATGTTTAAGACAGACCATCATTAACACATAAGTTACTGCAAATTTGTTTTCTCTGCTCTGATTATTAAGTGCAAGAGTTTCGGATTTCTCTTCCAATTGAACGTGTGCTTGGTTTCACCATTTTCACTGAAACTTAGTTACTGATGGCAGTATTTTTTAATCTGCCCTTTTCACAAGAAAAAGTGTGTTTTATATTTACACACATCTGTGCAACTATCAATCGTAAACTTGGAATATTCGAGTAGTCCCTCACTCCCCTAACAATCTACAAATTTTTTTTATTTTCTGCAGCTTTAGTAATAATGCTGGTGGATCAGTGAATTCGAGGAAAAGGCTGGCAAAACAGAGAAAAATGCTACCATTTCAGCAGCCTTGGAAGTAGACTTAGCTGCCTGAGGCTTGTTGACTAGCAAAGAGGACCAGAGAGATTTGAAGCTGCCAAGGATGGTCCTAGCCAATACAAAAGTGGCTTTAGAGCCCACAGTAGCAAAATTTACTGCACCCGCCTAGAGTTTTGGAAAAGACACCACGTATACCCTTGTGTCAGTTTTGACATTAGTGCATCATTTTCAAAGTTCAACATTTTCTATGCCATCAAAATTGAGAGGACCACATCCAAACAGTGCAAAGGTCAAATAATTACTGTTTTATATAGGGACAAAACACTCAATATTTCACCAAAGGGGAAAAAAAAAAAAGAAGAATGTAGTTAACTCAAAAGGCACAACAATTAAAAACACATTACGCTGAAGCCTTAAGACTCAGTATTTCTAAATTAAAAAAAAAACACAAAGTACACAATTTAATATTTCAAATATACCCCTCCGACACTTTCCAAATATCTAAAGTTACTTTGCTACTTTTTAAAGATAGCAATATCTGCAACTCTAGGTTTGGTTTTGTGAGGCAGTTTATGCAACACTTATTTGAAGGGGGGAAAGCAAGAGGTTTCAAGGAAAAAACATATTGAGCAAAGGACCTCAAAGTGCAGATATTCAACATTTTTTTTTAGTTTACAGGTTTTGAGCTAGCTCTCTGAAGATTCTCTGCTTGTACTCAGGAAGCAGGCTTACAAATGCAAAAGGCATACAAGTTGTAGTTCAGTGCAAATCTGCTGGACATCTGAAAATTCCAGCTGTTTAAAAAATTTCCTTTTTTTTTTAAAGCATAGCACACAAAAAGAATATACTTTGGAGATTTTTAGCAATCCACTAGCCCCATTTCCCATCTTTTCTTTTTTTAAAGAGTTCAAATTATCCAAAAATAGCTTGAGGATATTTTAAGAAAAATCTAAATTTTATATAGTTTGCTCATTTGCACTTTACAGAGTGTCTTAGTGGCTTTTGGCAGCTTGACTAGTTCAGTCTCATGAACTGCATTTTTAAAGACTGCAGGCAAGTGTGAAAGCCCACTTTTGTTGACCATCACTAAATAAGCTACATAGCCCTTTTATATAGTGAAAATTGCTCAGTTGGATATTAGGGCTTCTCTGGTTACCTTGTACCAGCTGGTTGTATTACCAGAATCAAATATTGAATATTCATTGTGAGGAGTTTGCCAAGTGGGCTGAATATAAAGACCTTAAAATGTTTCAAGCAAAGAGGACTGAAGAAATCTGTCTCTCTCTCTCTATATATATATATATTTCTCTATCTGTTAGCAGACCTCTACATACAAAGTTTCCAGAACATCTATAAAAGCACAAAGGCATAAGAATGTATCTCCATTATATTAATTTTATATAAAATGAATAAATACTATTTATAGATCATGTGTATTATGTACATTTACATGTGCTCTATTTAGCTTAAATGAAAATGTTGCAAGGTTGAAAACCACATTTTTGGGGGAAAAATATTAAGGTTTAGGCTGGCAACAAAATCTTTTATGAGCCAGTTTTAGAGTGCCTTATAATTCAACCCGGTGAGGAAGAGCTTTAATGCGAATAGCACTTCACTGAATAATTGTAGTAAGGTAGTATTAGCAACATCCTGTAAAATGTGCCCAATCACTGACACCCAAAGTTAGCACAGCTAGCTTCATCACTCAGTTATTGCTAAAATTTGTAGTAAGACAGATTTGAGGAGGACCAAGCATTGCTTATAGAAACAAATGAGGCATAATTATTTTTGTGCTAAAGGGATTGAGATAATCTTTGTTCATCTCTCTGAGGTAGAAAAGAATTGTCCCAGAGATGAGAAGCAAGAACAAACTTCTAGGAAAACTTGCCTAGAACAGTAATATGCAGCTGTAATGCAATGAGGTCACAATAAATTGCACTAGAGAAATAGTACCATTTGGGTTTAGGTATTAAAGAAACGGGGATGTGCAAGGCTGAAGACATTCTATCAAGGTATCTGCAAGAGGTGGAGCAGTATATCTGTGTTGCCAAGGTCTTGCAGCCCAATCCTGCGAGGTGCTGATTACCTACTATCTTCCAAGAGCTACTCAGAATGTCTCAAAATTGGTCCCACTGTCCCGCACTAGTCAAAATTCCCACTGTCATTTGCTGGCTGCTAATCTGAGATAGAGTTCAATGGGGTTACTCTTGAAACTAAAGGCCGCAAATATACAGCCCTTTGAACTTTAAGTCAATGGGAGCTTTGAATGAGTTAGGTCAAGAGGACTGGGTCAGGTGGTAATACAGCCACACTACTAAAAATGCAATACCCATAATATATAGGAGTAAATTTCCAAAGCAACAGTTGTGAGAATTGTGTAGCAAAATCTCGAAGTATCAGAGACAGGACAGCTAAAATGCTCCACACTCTACTTTTGAAAGTTTAGTCCACCCATTTCCAGATCTGTACTATGAGGAAGTTGGGTTCCCCTTTCAGATTGTTGATCAAACAAAGTTATGTTTAGCCACTAGTTCTGGATATTAGATATATTATGTTGCTAAGCAAAGACAAGGTAGGTCTAGAATACTAGACAACAACATCAAGGCAAAAAAAAAAAAAGGAGGTTTTTTTAGCTCTCTATTACTGCTAAAATATTCTTGGGTACTTCAAAATTTGGTTGGAATGTACAGTCTCACAGAGATGAGTTTACTGACAGAAAGAGAAGCTAGTGGATGCAATCAGATGTGTGCTCCAGAGAGTAGCTTATAACCCACAACCCTATGCACTGTTTCAGGACTTAGGCAAAGCTGATTTCGCTAATGTTGGTGGTACATTAAATTTACGTGCAAGAGAATTGTGGGACGGTCCAATATACTACCTAATAAGATCCAACAGGGAAACTGCAATGGATGGAACAGCTACTGAGTTGCTTCTTATAGACTGAGACAAGGCTTGTGATTGTTCTGCAGCTTTAATCTCTTAATGCCAGAGCTGGAATAGCCCTCATCACTACAGATGCTCTGCATGCTTCCTCTTTCATCTGAATCACTAGGACTGCTGCTGCTCCAGTCTAGGTCTCCCATTAAATAGTCTGTGCTTTCGACATCCACATCAATTTCTTCTGTAAGCAAAAGAGAGTAGTGTTGGAACAACCTGATAAAGCATTTTAAGGTTTCAGCTACAAGTATAGATATTCTTAGCCAAATGAGTGACTCACCTCTGTCAGAATCCGAACGCTCTGAAGAAACAGTAGATCCTATACTGTCCATTCTTACTCTTTCTATACCCAGCTTCTCCAGTTGCCTTTCCAGATGCCGCTGTTCTCGCTGCAATTGATCTATTTGGTGTACTGCTTTTCTATCATAGTCTTCAAGCTTCTGTGGGTTAAAAGGCATTGTTAGTTCTTCTGGACATTATGGACTAAGGCCAACATTTACAAGCTCACACACTTAAGCAAGTGGCCTAATTTTCAGACATGGGTGCTCAGCACCTTTGAAAGACAGGTCACTTAGGCACCTAACTATGGCTTTAGGTGACTGATGACAGGTAGTTGCATTTGAATCTAGGTCAGCATGTTCTACACATTTTAAGAGTACGTATTCAAGGTAGTTATGAGCCAAAGAAAATTTTAAAAGGAAAACAATTGAAGCACATAGCTCAAGTGAAAATATATCTGCTTTATTACACCCTTAATTGCGCGGTCAGCATTTCAGACTTGCTAAAGGTTTGAGGTTTGTGTTGCCATCTGTACACAAAGCATCATCCTGTGCTGTAATATGCACTGTGAGCATCTCCACTCATCTCAAGACAAGACAAGACTTTGGTCACCAATAAAGGCGACTGCCAGTTAAAGCTGTTTTCAAAACCAGCACCAAAGCTGAAGTTATTCCAAATGCCTCACATACCAAATGCACATTTGCTTATCCAGAGCAGGAACTCTTTGAACTTTCAAGACAACTCATCTCTCCCCTCCCCTTAACCCCATCCCATGCATCACAGTACACTGGAAGTAAACAGAGTTCATTAGAATTTACAGAAGCAGACTTTTCCTGTTTACTTGGCCAGTGGGAAAGAAACGAAGTTTGGGTGTTCTCATGGTGTGGCCACAACAGGGGAAGGTTTTTTCCTGCTGGGCTTTGGTGCAAGAGCCAGATCTCACAGAGCACGGTTAGGATTGAGCTATTGCTGCATTAGAATTATCTAATGGCCACATGGGGATGTGTATAAATAATGCTTCCCTCTCAAAATTGTTTTTATGCAATTATCTGGCAGTGTCTCAATCCTATTAATATACATTCCAAGTCTTTGATAGCTAGCTATTTGTAATCAGACTGACGCCAACCAAGTCCCTCAGTGCCACCTCCTTGATCTTCCACTTAACAATACTATGTACTCTAAAAATATTTGGTATTGCTAAGGAAAGATATCAAAACCATTCAACTGAAAGTTAAATATTTTTTTTATTTATTAATTTTTTTAAAAAAGAAGCAAGCTATTGAACAGTACAAATATTGAGACAAACTCCTTGGGGCACAGATTTTATATTTGTACAATGCCCAACAGTCTGAAGGTCCCAACTCAGGCCTCTGGATGCTACGGTAATATACGTGAGACGTAACATTAAAATCACGTCCATAGATAATTGTGATGAGAAAAAATTTGTATACAAGGACAGAGTCTTGATTAACAATAGCCTGAATCCACAGCTGAGCCGGTCAGCCAGTTTAACCATGTTAGCATGTCTGAAAAATGTTAACCAACTAGCATCTATAAGTTACAGCATCACAATTAGCTTAGGAATCAAAGCCTTTTCTCCCTGTCAGGGTGCTATTGTAAAGCTAGTATTGTTATATCTTAACTCTTGGCTAGAAGAGAGATATTTCTTCCTTTAAATAGTAAGGTCTTCAGGTATGCAATTCATATGGATTCCATGTTTCAGTGTGTGTCAGTGTTTTCCTTGAGACAAATCATAACATCAGGAGACTGATGTTTCTCAACAAAAGTATAAAAAAAACACAACTTGAAACACTTACCATTATAGGGTCAGAATGAAGGCTGATCTTAGTGTCTGAATCAAGATCAAAGGGTTTCTACTGTCCATAGCGCTGAAGCTTTTTGAACCCACAAAGGTGACCCTCTTGGAAACTTTTTCCTCCCATCTCTTCACTGGCAGGAGCATAGAGCTTCATCCTGCTACTTTAAGCACTGACCAGTCCAGCTACAGCTGGAGGTAAGAAGCAGTCCACCAAGCTGAAACTTATTTTTAGACCCCCCCAGAGAGACTGAGAAATTAAGTTAAAAACTTTTAGACCGATCTGGTCTTCACTGATTGCGACTAAGAGCATCAGCAGGAAATTATTTTGGGGAACAATCATTGTCCCTTTCATCCCTATGCCATTTCAGTCATATGTGTGAAGATTACTTCTCTTGTTTGCAGGAGACAGACTTCAGAAGTGGACATGACTAAAGAACTGGTTCTGAAACAGGATTTTATCCACAATTTGTTGTCAAGCAATAGTTTTTACAGCATTCAGTAATGCTTGGCGTGCTCACTTACATGATTAAACTAACTTGAACTCACCTTTATGTGCAATTTAGCTTTTGTTAGTAAACTCAGTGTAGTATGTCTGTTGGATTCAGGCCCAAGTGGTACCAGCCCTTTCAGCTTCTCCAGACACAACCGCAGATGAGCACGTCTGTAAAATCCAAAGTTCATACATCATGTAAATATTCATTCTGTGGTCAACAGCAACTAGGTAGGATTAGGCAACATTCAAGAGGACCTCACATCTGCAAGCAGCTATGGCAAATATAACAACAGTAAAGAATACAATTGGTGACATCAGCAGTTGGTGTTAGAAGAATAAGGATATCCATTCCTTTCTATTTTTGGAAGATGAATTGTGCATCCTGGCATAATTTCACATGCATTTTCTCCCTTAGAGCTGTACTATGAAGCACTAGCATTCCAGAAACAGAGGTACAATGGCTTGGAAGAAAGCAAGTTTCAATTACACTGAAAATGTTAAGCGGCAGGACAAGCTAGAGAAAAATTTCAATCTACACTCGTTATACCCATGACCATCTTCATGCATATTAAAATTCAAGAACTACATCAGTCGTTAAGGTGGTATAATTAAAAATGAAAACAGGAAGAGCAACATCACATTGCACATCATGTAAAGCCCAATACGTGCCAATAATGTTTTTCCCAATCAGCGCTCAAGCAGTATATAGTTTCCCTACCCTACTGTAGAATAACTACTGTGATCACCTACTGCAGGTGCTACCATGTGAAGTAGAGCAGGTACACATCACCTTATTCAACACAATCTCTTCCATGAGCATTTCTAGCCACATCCACTGCTGGTTACTAACACCTTGTCTACAAGAGAAAGGATTTGCCAGTATAGTTATACTGGCAAATCGTCCTAGATTTGACACAGCTTATACCGGTAAAAGCGGGCTTTTGCTTCTATAGCTTATCCTAGTTCCCTGAATAAGATTAGTTATTGACAAAAGGACTTTTGCCAATATAAGCTGCATCTACACTAGTGTTTTTGCTGGCATAGGTATGTCGATTAGAGTTATGATTCCCCTCTCCTCCCTCTCTCCCCCCGCCAATGTAGCTATGCTGGCAAAACTTCTAAGTTTAGACCTGATCAAACATTTCTCATGACAATCTATAATTCTGCACCATTTACTACAACAGGTTGTTTATGTCCCCAGGTTTTATGTCAGTGAACAAATTAATTCCACAAACAATAATAATGATCCTACAGGATAAGACAGGTTTTAATGTTAATGATCCTACAGGATAAGACAGGTTTTAATGTTAAGTCTTTTATATCAGAAATGGCTACTCTCAGCTACAAGACATGTCTTCATAGTATCCACTTGCTGTACCCAGTATGCAGTACTTTGAAATACGTTTTAAGAAAAGCAACAGTTTTGAAAGACTGGTTTGAGGTATTTCTTGAGCTAATAGTCGATTAAGATAGTTATGCTTTCCCATCTTATTAGAAAAGCCTTTCAATTCTGAAATGTTCAACAGTGCAAAAAAAGTCCACCAGACTGACAGAGCCCCATTTTTAGTTACAGTATAGGGAGTACTAATACACAAGAACGATCATGCTGGGTCAGACCAAAGGTCCATCTAGCCCAATATCCTGTCTTCCAACAGTGGCCAATGACAGATACAACAGAGGGAACAAATAGAACAGTTAATCATCAAGTAAGATCCTCTGTCACCCATTCCCAGCTTCGGGCAAACAAAGGCTAGGGACACCATCCCTGCCCATCCTGGCTAATAGCCATTGATGAATCTATTCTCCATGAATTTATCTAGTTCTTTTTTGAACCCTGTTATAGTCTTGGCCCTCAACATCCTCTGGCAAAGAGTTTCACAGGTCGACTGTGCGTTGCGTGAAGAAATACTACTTTTTGTTTGTTTTAAACCTGCTGCCTATTAATTTCATTTGGTAACCCCTAGTTCTTGTGTTATGAGAAGGAGTAAATAAAACTTCCTTATTTACTTTCTCCACACCCGTCATGATTTTATAGACCTCTATCACATCCCCCCCTTAGTCATCTCTTTTCCAAGCTGAAAAGTCCCAGTCTTATTAATCTCTCCTCATATGGAAGCTGTTCCATACCCCTAATCATTTTTGTTGCCTCTTTCTGAACTTTTTCCAATATATCTTTTTTGAGATGGAGCAACCACATCTGCATGCAGTATTCAAGATGTGGGCATGGATTTATATAGAGGCAATATGATATTTTCTGACTTATTATCTATCCCTTTCTTAATGATTCCAAACATTGTTAGCTTTTTTTGACTGCCACTGCACATTGAGTGGATGTTTTCAGAGCACTCTCCACAATGACTCCAAGATCTCTTTCTTGAGTGGTAACAGCTAATTTAGACCCCATCATTTTATATGTAGAGTTGGGATTATGTTGTCCAAAAATGCATTACTTTGCATTTATCAACATTGAATTTCATCTGCCTTTTTATTGCCCAGTCACCTAATTTTGTGAGATCTCTTTGTAACTCTTCGCAGTCTGCTTTGGAGTTAACTATCTTGAGTTGTTTTGGATCATCTGCAAATTTTGCCACCTCATTGTTTATCCCTTTTTCCAGATCATTTATGAATATGTTGACTAGTACTGGTCCGAGTACAGATCCCCTGGGGGCACCACTATTTACATCTCTTCATTCTGTAAAGTGTTTTACATTGGCTCTCTGGTGGTACTATGTAGATCAGCCTTTTGCTGTGTTGTGCAAGAGGCAGTGTAAATATATTCTTAAAACCAAAGGTGTCTTAAAAATAATCTGTGAATAGCCAGGAGAAAGAGACTGAACAAGAAACAGCACTATGAGGTGTGGTCTTCTGAATTACTATCCAAGGTTTGTAAGTCAGCAAAGTGTTAAGAGCACTTCAAATACAGACCTGACCATTAAGTATTAACCTTACATTTAAGGTAAAAAGCATTGACTGATGAGTGTTTTGGTCACAATGCTTTAGAGAAACAAGACATTTCACACAACATTCATTTTGTTGGAACGTTGTCCTGGCTCCAGTCTTTTCCTCTAATCAGTCGACATCTAAGTTCTAGTCACAGTCCAGCTCTGCCATGGGTCTAAATTAGCATGCATAGGACCTTGAGCCAGTGACTTAGGGCTGGTTTTCAGCAGTGTTTAAGCACCCACAGCTCCCACTGTTTTTCATAGGAGTTATGGGTACTCAGCATCTCTGGGGAGGAAAAAAGCCAAGCCCTTTATCGTCTCGCCACACCTTCAAGGCAGAGTTACCAAAGCTGAGAGCTTTTGAAAATGTCTACGCTGCAATAAGACACCTGCAGCGAGCCCTAGTCAGCTGACTAGGTCTCAAAGGGCCAGGCTGCAGGGCTGTAAAATTGCAGTGAGGACATTAGAACTTGGGCTCCAGCCTCATCCCTGGGACACTCCCCCTTTGTGGGGTCCCAGAGCCCAGTCTCCAGCCCACAGAGGTTAAATGATGCCTTATGCATTTGGTCAGAAGGAGATTTGAAACTAGTGTTTTCAAGGGTGACATCAGCTGCAATTGAAGGCTTACCTGACACTGCTTCCTGGGTGCACCAACTATTTTCAAACAACTTCACCCCATCACGTTAATTCCATTGACAACTGTAACTCCTCTAATGTAGCATGTCAGTATTACACAGCTGTAAACTCTGAATGCACCTTTACAAATGTTTCCTCTGCCTACCTTTGTTTATTTCCCATTAGCCAGTTTCAGATCAATTGCTCTGGTGTATGCATCTCCATTCATAAACAATTCATTTAGTGAAGTTGCATCCTCATCAAGGCTATGCTACGGTATTCAACTTCCACTACAGGAGTTCTCTAGCACTTTGACAGTGGCTAGAAGTCCATATATACAGGGTACACTGTTTAATCTGATCCTTGCACATAGGGAAATGCCCAGTTGCTTTCATACAGCAGGCACATGGATGACAATATGCAGAGCTAGCTTTTTAGATACTCAAGGAAACGGCTTCATTAGGATATTGGGAGTGAGGATAGTTCCAAGACAGGTGAGTTTCAATACTATTCAAATGCTCTTGTTGATCCTGACATTCAGGTCATATTATTTGGCAGTGGTTGCAACATAACCTGTCTTTGAAATGTCTAATTGTCATAAGAAGTTCAAATTGAGATGTTGCAATTATCTGCATATCTTGCTCTAAGCACACTACAAGTTAAACAAACAATCATTTGCACTGTAGTTCTGAAAGCATTTTATGTAAGCAAACAGAGTGGATAATCTTTACTCCTATAGTAAATCCAATGATGGGGCCCAGTGATGAATCCCTGCTTAACACTGTTTGCAACCCCAAAATAAGATCTCCTACCTTCAGAACAGACTTAGCCAACCTGCCTTAATGGAGTTACACAAGAACTGTCTGTCGTACCTATAGAGGTAATACAACTATGGTCCACAATACTTAAGTGAGAGACTGTAGTGGGCATCAGGTTAATTTCAAAGTCACTTGTTAGATGTCAAACCCTTAACATTATGGAGTTTGTACAACAGCAAGTGAGATTCCTAGAAATCTAGCATGTGACTCAGCATGACCCTTGATTTTCCAGCTCCAACTTCTACTTTACATAAGCAGAATTATGCTTAAAACTTCTTTTAAAGCATATTTCAGCATAATTTTTACTGAGTGACAATACAACCACAGTTTTAGATTAGACAAAATTCTCCCATTGGCAAAGCCAAATTCCTCAATTAATAAAGTTTGCTGTCAGAGACAATTGATCTTTCAAGTCCATTGTAATGAAAGTAATCAGATTCCTTACATTAAGGATAATGCTTAACAACAAGCTTAATTTTCATCTTAGATGCGATGTGGTATTTATCTAACCAGAATTTGGCCCCAATTATCAAGTTAAACTGGTTCCCACACTATTCAAGTTCCAAACAGATAACCAATGTTGACTGCAAAATTAGTACACCTCTACCCCAATATAAGGCGACCCGATAACACAGTAAAGCAGTGCTCTCGGGGGGGGGGGGGGGAGGGAGGAGGAGCACTGCACACCCTGGTGGATCAAAGCAAGTTCGATATAACGTGGTTTCACTTATAACGCAGTACGATTTTTTGGGTCCCGAAGACAGCGTTATATCGAGGTAGAGGTGAACTTTTGAATAACTGCGAAGTCCTAACAGCTTGATATTAACTCTTTGTGTACAGAAACGTTGAAGAGCCACTTTAAAGTCTCCATAAGGCATCTAAGTCGTTAACTCTTGAGACTAGCAGCAGTTAAAGTCTTAGACATCAAAATACTTTGTTTCACTCCTACATGTACAACAATGGGAGAATAACAATTTTATTTAGAAAGGAATACATTCCAGAGAAATACACTGGCTGTTTTCCTAATCACCTTTTCGATAAGAGCTTAAAATAAATGACACTTGCTGTACTTCACTGTCTGGACAATAATTTAAACAGGATTTCAATACAGCTATGGTGTAGTTGCTACTGCAGAGTAAGTAGGAGAGATGCAATGTATTCAATAGTTTTTAAAAGCATTTTTTCTTTAGTTTCTCAAGTTATCAAGTGATAATTTTGTGACTCTGGAAAGTAACTACCCAAAAGCTTACACTGAACTCTGACAGAGCTAGCTAATGAGAAATTTGCAATTTACATCTTGTAATAGATCATAAAAGAGCCATGCATCCAAAGAAGTGGGCTGTAGTCCACGAAAGCTTATGCTCTAATAAATTTGTTAGTCTCTAAGGTGCCACAAGTACTCCTGTTCTTTTTACAACTATTATGGTAGCCTGGGGTTTCACTAAGGGGAGTGTCAGCTTGTTATTTTCTTTTCCCAAACTACCAAGTTACTTATCGAAGCACCACAAACACAAGGATACCTCACTTTACAAGTATTCATACACAATAGCCCTTCTCCCAGCAAGAAGTATGCTGACTGAGCCAAAAGAGCTGAAAACAAAGTTTAAGCCCTCTTATGAAGTTCTCCAATTTTAAAGTGCTATAGTCTTAAAAACCACGTTCCTGTGTCTTGACTGCAAAGTACATTTACCAAGATACAGGGTAAAAGGGCAGATTTAATGATGCCACAACCTTGTCAAAACAGCCAACAAAAAACAGGTTACATTCTGTATAGTGCTAAGGACACAAACAGTGCGATAGTTGATCAGATGAGTGGTCTATCTAGACCTATGTACCCTGACAGAAGGTGATCAGAACCAGTAGCTTCAAGAAAAGGTCCAAGAAATACTGCTGAAGGCAGTTATGGAATAACTTCACACGGGTATTATGAGGAAATGTTCCCGATCAGCGCTTAGACTCTGAAGGATGAACAACATATTCCAGGTAAGAGGCCCAGAAGATCTGGGATTGATGAAAACATAATTCCTAGAATCAGTAGTCTCTAGTTGCTGTAGTGCACACATCTGAGCTCACACAGAACTGCCATTCTCCCCCACATTGCAGTTTATGCTTGCTTACTGCAGATAGATGTTGTGGTCAGAAAGCAGGATATATTTCCACACCAATTTTCAGTTTAAAGTGACATTTTAGCTTACCCATGCCTATATGGGTAAGCTAAAAGAGTACTCAAGGGTACCTCCCCCCCCCCCCCCAAAAGAAACCAACTTCAATAAAACTGAACTCTTAGATTTAGAGACTGCTCAGAGAATCAGTCCTGCCTGAAGATGTACTTTGCACGTCCCTCTGGTATTACTGCTCCATTGAAAGGAGGACCTGGACAATCCCAGTGGGGGATACAGGGGAATGGAATAAAAGTTAGTGCAAATACTTAATGAATCCTACAAACTCACCTGTTCTTTTCCATTTCATTGTGCGTTGACCTGAAAGATAAACAAGGAATTAGTTATTTAATGGTTGTCAGTTGCAGATAACTACATGCACGGTGATTAAGAATATCAATGCAACAGTTTTTGTAACCATTCACTGCAAGAGCTGCAAGCCACTAACGCACTTCAGAGAAAGCTACTAGCTACCCTGGGGACAGCAAAAAGGTCGGAAGCAACCAGGACGAAGTGAAGAAGTGTGGAGCAACACAGTATGGGTTTTCTGCCAGCAAAATGGCAATATAAGCCCAGAAAGAGCTGCAAAGCCAAGTGCATAATGGTGGTGCAGACCAAAAATGTGGTTATCTTAGCATAGGAAGAGAATGGCAAATTGCCCCATCTTAACACTATTTGACATCTAATCAATTAAGAGTCAAGTGTAGTTTCAGACATGCCCCTGAGTGCATTGCCAACTGGTGGTTTGGGGAGGATTTTTAAGTATTTATCTCCCTATTGCTGTGCAAAAGATTCACATCATGAGAGAAGCCAACTTTGCATTTTATAGGAGTTTACATATAAAGTAAGAAAAAAAACCTGAAGAAATGGAAAAAAGTTGCCTGAATTTTGTTACTCTTAGGTGGTATTTGTAACTCTTGCCTGAAAACACTGTTATATATTTGTGTCTTTAAGAGTTATATTGCAGAATAAAATATGGTTTTAAATAGCACCTTTAACATCAGATATCCCAAAATAATGAGGTAAGTACCATAACACAACAATAATTAAACACTAGCAGACAAGTGCTTAGACAGTCTGGACACCACAACCTAATGTCGAGTAGCCTTAACTTTTATTCAGATGCATCTGAAGAAGTGGGGGTGTTTTACCCACAAAAGCTTATGCCCAAATAAATTTGGGTCTTTAAGGTGCCACGGGAATCCTCGTTAACTTTTATTGAATTCTTAACTTCTGCTTCCAGCTTTTTATAAAGGATGGCACCTTAAACAGTGCAGCAGTGAGCATGACACAGATTTGATCCCATGGCCTATGGATACCAATGAGTGATACCAATTGAACCATGTGACTTGTACACTGTATTCAATCACTAAGTCACCAGCTTTGTAGAGAAATAATATCCTGAAGATCGGGTACGTGAACACAGGAGATCTGTAGAAAACTTTTCCAGAAGCGAATGACAGACTATAATGCTTTTCATTTTTACATGGAAGAATGACATATTAAATGTAAGGTTATAGTCTAGATTGGTATTATATTGGTTTGCAAATAATTCAGAAGTTCTTCCTTCTCCCCCTGCAAGATTTTAGGGAAACGGTAAGAAAACAAGAGAACTATTGCAGGGTTCTCTTATAAAGAAGAGGATCCAGAATAACTAAAGAGATTTAAATAGTTTTCAAGTTACTGTTGACTTAATGTTGAAATGAGGCCTCCTAATATATGCACACATGCTCATAACAGAAATCTGCCACAACTACTCTTTAAAGCTTTAAACGAAGCCTGTTATCGTTCAGGGATAGCATTACTGCGTGACAGAAAACCCGAGGGAAAAACCACAACCATGGAATGTATATATCTGAAGCCTTCCATCTGACTTATCCTGTGCCTGAGCCAGAGAGTGCCAGTTTTCCCACTGTGTTTTCTAGAGGTTTCAATAAATTAAGCAGATTTTATTGCTAAATAAGCAACACTAGGAACTTATACTTTGAGGTCACTGCAAATTATATTTTTGGTATTTTTACTCGCTTGCAATCCCTCATAGAAACTTCATTCATAATAGCTTTATCTTTGTTTGGTAAGTTATTCCCCCCTCCCTCCAGTTTTTTAATGACATTAATTTTAACATGGCTCCATTTGTTTACTTTCAGATTGCATTATTTAAAGTGATCTGTTCTGAAATGCAAACATTTAACTTCGAAACATTTAAAAAAAAAATCACAAGATATTTTGATTTCCATTGAGAATGAAAGGTCCATATTTCTTAGTAGATCATTTAAATGGAGGCACATTAGTCTGAAATGTAATGGAGACACAAGTTCCCCTGCTAGGGCATCTGTAAATAGCTGAAAAGAGGACAGACGTATTTTTGGTTCCACCGGTTTCCCCCACTGACTCTTCTGGATAAAAACCAGAGAAACAAAGAAGTTTGAGCCCTTCCTCACCTCCGAATTATGACTGCCCGAGTCCAAGACATTACAATTAACTTGTAGTTTACTAGTGGTCTGTTGTGTCTTAAATAGGACATATCAATTCAATACTGGTTCCAAAAGTTTCAGATGTCTGTTAAACTAGTTTGTTAATGGAATACATCCTCTCTGGACTTACCATTAGTAAAGTGTTCCTGGACACAGTTAAGTTTTGTATCCAAAAATATAGTTCTATTAGCTGGTGAATTCTATTTTTACAACATAAACCCTAAGGTGGATAGTTTGCACATTACCATGTAGACAAGATTCTCAGCTCTTAGTGATAAACGTTAGTTTCCTTTACTTGGAACGTATTCAAATATTTTTTATCTGAAGTGGAAAGACTGAGCATAATAACTTCAAGAGATGTTAGTGTTTTGTTTGTCAGTTTCAAAGCAACATTGATAGCAATCAATTTCTGTGTTCAGAACTCCAAACAAACAGAGACCATTTCCAGGAAGTTAATACAGAGAAGGGCACAGTAACCATATCTACACTAGCTAAATGGCTGTCCAGTGTACATAGTACCCATCTTCTTCCCCTTCCAAAAGGGAAAGAGACAGTATCTCTAATTAGCTACAGAAGCCACTGCCACATTTTTGTGAATAGCAGTGTTGCAGAATTTCCATTCCAAAGATGCAGGCTTAACCATGCTTATGGCATAGTGACAGGTCTGCAGACCTAGCATAAAATGCCAACCTTAAACTCAATATAAAAAAAATACCCTCACCTCTCTCTGACAAACAGACAGACCATTTTATTGTCCAATATCAGCTAACAATCATACTGGTCACACAGACCTATTTATAACTATACTATAGTTAATATCGATCACATTCTAGAATTTAAATGCAGAATTTGGGCATGCAACTAGGATTACTTCTGAACTTTGACCTTTTAATGAACACCTGTTCCATCACAGATACAGGAAAATGGCTGTACCATTTTCCATATGAACTCAGTATTAACTCATTCCATTGTTATGTAGGCCAGAAATAAGTAATTCTTGCTACTCTAAGACACCTCCACAATTGGTGTTAAAGGGAAACTGTCAGCTTGTAATCTAACCATTTTTTAAAAAAAGAGAATTAGAAGTAGCTTCAGGTATTATACATGCACTTGGGGCCACTTGCCAAGCTGTGTTTTACAATCAGATGTTCCTATTTAACATATGCCTTTTTCCCCATTTCAGTGAAAGTTTCACACAAACAGGAGATAGAAGACCTAATCTGCCCTCCACTGAAGTCAGGTAGGCCTAAAAAGACTACACAGACTGAAATTGACTATATACAGAGCTGTCCAACAAAGTAATTGCCCATCTCTATGCCCTTGCCCAATAATATTTCAGCTATTGTAATATTAGGTATTACTTTAACAAAAGCAGATTTTGTCTTAATTAAAAAGTTTAAAGGGACACTAAAGAATCAAACTGTTTAAAACAAGGAGCCATTTCACATTTCCTAATGAAACAGGAAATATTTAGTCCCTAGACAGAACAGCTAAAAACAGGCCAGGCTCACCCACACAATATTTAGAGAAGAATTTGCTCAAACTGCTTTCTCTCTATCGTACTATTTCTCCATTAATTATGATTTGATCTTTAGAGCACTTGATATATACATAAGAAAGAGCTCACTCTCCAATGCCAACATTGCACACCTTTAAATATACTATTCCTGCAGGTCAGTTACAAAGTTGAGCTTTACAATTCATTTTAATAGTTAAGATTGTAATTACAGAATTCTGTGAGACAGGCTGAAAAAAAAATGCTGATTAAATTTTCACTAGATACATTAAGAAGTAAATCAGCTCTTGTACTGTCAACCTCCATTTCTAAAGGATTTCTAGGGTACTCAGCTGCAAAAATCTCTCTCTCTCTCTCTCTCACAAAAAATGACATACAAAATCTTGGCCCAGAAGGTTTAAAAATAAGAGGGGGGGGGGAGGGGGAGGGAAAGCATTTGTAAAATCCTTCAGACATCTTTCTGTACTTCAATAAATCAAACCCTTAAAATTTCTTGAAATTTGAGAGGCCTTCCATCTACATTGTGAAATATGTCCTTCTTAGTATAGAGATACAAAGAAGTCATCAGGACAATTAGACTTTTCTCTAGCACTGGTCAATATTCGTTCTGTATTAGACATGCACTGAAATGACAGTCTACAGCCCAAGTAAGATTCTAAACACCGAGGTTGGGACAAAAACCCAAGTACAAAGTTCACACTGAAATTCCATCCTTCTTTTCCTATGCTGTACCAAAATATTGCAGCACATATGGTGCACATCACGTACTAAGCTTAGGCCACTAACCATAGTAAAAACAGGGTGAGTTAAGGACAGAGCTTTAACTGAGAACTTCCTGGCTTTTATGAGTCTCCATCACAGTACAAGCATTACCTAAAAGTAGCAGTTTGCATTTATACATACTACTACTAATGGAGAGAGTTGCAAGCACCTAAAACAAGACAGGAATTTCAGTTTTAACCTGCAAGTCTTTAGGACCTAAAAAACTTCACTAAAAAAGGCTTGCAGAAGTTGCCTATCCAATTTAAAGTTCAGCAGCTTGGACTGAAATGAATTTGGATGGATTAAATCCCAGCAAAACATCTCCAGTACTGGGTGATTTAGCATTTTTAGCTGCCCCAAGAACAAGATGTATATTAAACCAAAGATGAATAATCTGCAGCAAATCTCTAGATGGATTTCAAGATGAACAATAAATAAATCAGGCTGTCAAACAAAAGTGGCACTGGAAGCAAGATTTAATCAAAGTGTCAAACTAGAACCATGTCACTTTCTGCACTCAGTCATATAATTTAGCTTTAGTTAAGAATTCCTGCACACTTAAAGTGAAATAGAAAATGTTAGAAAATTTGAATTTAACATTGCACATAAATCTTGAATGAAAGATAAGACTCCTTCAATTTTCAATTAGCTTTAGAAAAAAACATTTCTATCATGTCGCATGGCAAAAATTCCACATTTTCTGAGAAACAAAATCAAATACAGCAAAAAAATGAGAGTTTCTGTTCTTTAGAGGTTTCCCTAGAAAGTAACTAGTATCAAAACGTTTGACTATGTTCATATATTACTGCAGTTAAACATGCACACAATAGTCTAAATGTATGCACACCTATCTCAGTAAGAAATATTATAAATTTTACCTTTGAGTATCCATGCTCTAGTTGAAAAGTTTTATTTCACTGACATAAAAAGATATCTGAATGGGTGTGTTAAAAATACTTCTGTTTTCTTGAAGTGCCAAAACCAAAGTTTGGGCCGAATTTGACTGAGGCATTATATAATTACAATATATTCCCTTTATTATAACCACATCATGCCTCATTTTATTTTTTAAATGGTTTGCATTGAAACTAAATAGGGACATACCCCAGCAGTATTTGCAATCCAAACATTAAACTGTTGTGTTAATGCAGAAAAGCCTAAACATATAGTTGACTGAAAGCAAAAGTAAAACTGATTAGTACCTTCATTTCCCAAGTTAAAGATAGAAGTAAAAAGCCTAAATAAAGTTACTAAATGGAATGTTTTAAAAATCTGAGTTGTTAACACAAAGACTTTGTCAAGTGAGAAAGCACAGAATGAGAAAAACAACAACTCTTTAATTAAAAATACCACTGTATGGTGAGTTATAAGTCGAAAGACACATAGCCAACATTGTCACAGAGCTATAATCATAGTAGAAATGGCAGAATTTTGCACCACAAGCGTCTGCATAAATCAGATCACACACACACAGATGCAAGTACCATATATTTGCCATTACCTGCTACTACTGCTGTTTTTCTTCGACTTGCTTCTCCGTTTTAAGGCATCTCTGTCCTTGTTATTGTAGGGTAACATAGAGGCATAGCCATGTTCAGCTTCTAAAAAAAGCCAGGATTTCACTCGATCATTAAGTTAGCCCAAAACATACAGACATCCAGGAGTATTTGGGGGTGGGAGGAGAACATATTTGGAAGCCCAAAGGTGGAAATCAATAAGATTACTTCGTTATCTGCTAATGAATAACACACAGAGCCTTATACAAAACCCTCCAGGTCCAGGCAATCCATTGTTTCCAGCACGGGGATGACAAGCCCACGCCATACATGGGGGGAAACCATGTAAACGGCAAGCAATAGGGATTTTGAAGTGGGGATCTGGAAGATGGGTCCCTTTCTCCCCATTCCATACATGGGAATCTCCAGGACACTTGTTTCTTAGAGGGGACACCCCTCCGTGGAAAGATCTACACAAAAAGCCAGGGTGTTTGTGCGTGGTGGGATTATACCCCAGGAGTTGCAATGTGTGCCTGGGGGTAAGGATCTTTCCACACCCCAAGATGGACGATTGGGGGAGCAGAGCGGATGGGGGAGGGGGATTAGGGTGGGCCCCGAGGGGCAGGGGTAACAGCAGCCGGGCTAAGGAAGGGGGAGCCGGTGCGTTCTCGGGGTGGGCGCGGGAGCCAGCGCCGATGGTCACCGCTCGGGAGAGGGGGCTCCGCGCTCGGGATGGGATCCCGGCTCCTTTCGGTTCCGCTTTCTGCCGACGACGGGTGGGGGAAGCGGCGGCGCAGGCTGCTGGCTCCTTGGTGGGGAGCGGTCTGCGGTCAGCACCCCCCGCCGGGCCTCAGGGGAGGCCCTTCTCCCGGGGGCTGGTCCCTGGACCCTCTCCCCGGGCGGGGAGGGGCTGTCGACACCCCGGTCTCTCCTGCGGGGGGGGCGAAACCAGGCCCCGGTCTCTGCTATGGGGGGCGGGCCCGGCGGGGGGAGGGGGAGCACCCCGGTCTCTCCTATGGGGGGCTCTATGACCTATGAGGGGGGTCGGTACCCCGGTCTCTCCCGGGGCGGGAGGCCCCCCCCGCTATCCCCGAGGATGAGGCGGGATCCCGAGCCAGGCCCCAGAGAAGGGGGGTGGGCGGGCTGGCTGCCGTCTCCGGGGGCCGGTACCTCGCTCTCTCCGCTCCAGGTACTCGGCCGCCTCCAGCAGCATCTGGATGTTCACACAGACCCGGGTCGCCGCCGCCATCTTACACCGCTGCCGGGGCCCTGCGCTCGCCCTGCCGCGGAGCCTCACGGAGCAGCAGCTGCAACAGCCGGTCTCCACAGCCCGAATGTTTATCCCCCTCCCTCCTGCTCCGCTCTGACAGACCCCGGGCAACCAACCCCCCCGCAACCCAACCCACTGCCCCCTGCCAGCGCGGTGCTCATTGGATACCCAGAGACAAGCCCCGGCCTCTAATTGGTCGGCTCATATAAAGACCCCCCTCTCTTCTATTTTCCTCGCCTATGATTGGCCTTTTTGTCCACATTCCCGCCTCTTGGTTATAGGCCCGCCTCTTTTCTTTGATTGGCCCAGTAGCCTTAGGTCCCGGCCCCATCCCTTAGCTACCTTCTAATTGGCCAATTCTTAGGAAGCACCACCCTTTGCGCGGTCCAAAAGGACAACTGCTCTAACGGCCCCGCCCCTCTCTCGCCTTCGGAAGTTACGATTGGCTAGAACTTTCATGGTTCCGCCCCACCTATTCTTCTCCAATAAGCTTAGCCAACAATGCCCCGTTTCTTACCTCTGATTGGTCAAGCCTTCCCAAAGGCCCTCCCTCTATTGTGTAAAGCTCCCCCCTTCGCAACTTCAACCGTCCGTCCAGCCGCCCACTGGCTCCTTCCAAAGGAACAAACCAATCAGTGAGCAGCAAGGCCAAAGAGGCGGGGACAAGGCCCCTGGGGCCAGGTGTCAGGCTTTGGAGCCTAACAATGCAGGGAGGGTGCAAGGACCAGGAAATTCCAAGGGGCAAGGGAGGGAGAGAAAAGAGGGAATGCAGGGAGGGGATACAAAGGGCTGGATTCGAGGGGGCAGAGAGAGATGCAAGGTGGAGACAGTACATAAGATATAGGGAGTATAGAAGGAAGATGGACGGCCCAGGTGGCTGGATGCAGTGGGGGATATAGCTGCAGACATGTGCAGTGGAACACTGATGATTAGACAAAACAAAAGGCCACCCAGAAAGAAAAAGGAGCTATCCCCACCCTTTTACAACAGAGCATCACAGGACTCCCGTGGGAGGGCTTTGGCATGATGTTTTGCAAGGCTTTAGTGCATCCCTCCCTTTCTATTATTATTCTCTAGGTATAGATCAGGAACTCCCATCGGGTTGTGCATCGCTAGCACTAGCCCTTCAGGTTTTTTAGAACTGGTTGTCTAGGTGGCTTCTCCTTGCCCTGTGCTGATATGCCAGTACTACCTGCTTCATGCTCATGGGCACAAAGTCAGACCTGCTCTGGGGAAAGGCTGCTTCAAACACTTCTGCCACCATTGGTGAGAATGCAAAGCTGAACTATGCTGGTAAAGGTGCATACAGTAGAACAGGGCATGATAGGCATGGAGAAGGCTCCAACTTGGTAAATTCATTCAAACAATTAGCACACACTGATATTGTCAGACCAGCCTCCCAAGAAATCACCTGTTACTGGGGGTTTGCAACTTGACCCTATGGCATGAACCCTGACATATAAATCTAAACAGTAGTTCGACCATTTAACTGGCAACATAATAATAAAACATAGATTGCTGTACATGCTTTGTTTCTGTTCTTGTAAATCAAACCATGTCCTATCATATCATGACTTCATGTACAAAGGAAATACACAAACAACTTTTACATGATCAGAAGTGACTGGCAGGTGTTCTCTTGCCTACAGCATTCAGACAAGAAGGCTAACATTTGCCTCACTGACCCTAACCTCCACATGTAAATGAGGGACAACTACATTTCAGATCCATTTTTAAAGCAGCAATCAGTAAATGGAGCCATAAAAAGCAACCACAGAAAATAGCATTCAGTTAAAGCAACAGAGAAAGGCAGGTTACCTCTGCTCTTTTCAAAGAGTAGGGGGAACCTTCCACAGCCAAAGATTGTCAATTTCCTCTTTCCAAACACCAGGGAAGAGCATGTTTGATGTTGCTGCAAACAGCTGAACTACCATTAAGTCACAGTTAAATACTGTTTAAAGCAAACATGTCTGCACAAAAACTTACTATGCCTGCCTTTTCTCCTTCTTTCCTGCTTGCTTGCCTCCACTTTTCCTCCTATTTAAGCTTAGTGTCTTGGTCTTTTTCAGTGTCTGTATTGCCTCCAGACTCATTTTGCTATTTTTCATCTATTTCAAATATTTGCTTTCCCCTGAGACTCTTGCTAACCTCACAGAATGGTCATTTCTAATTGTGCCTCTCTCCTCTCACCTATTCTTGGTTTTGTTTTTCCTTTTCCCCTGTGTATCCCAGCCTGTTACCACCTTCTCTTCATTTCTGCTTCTCCAGAGCACTGTCTACCCAACCTCTAAGCAAGAATGTCAGAATTTGTATGTTTTCTTCCAGCTGATAATGCTACTACACTTTCACTAACTCAGTAGGCTCTAGCATACCTAGTTAGGCAACATCACAGTAGAGGCTCAATATTACTCTGATAGATAGTAGGAATATACATTAGTAAAGGTCCCTAGGCATCTATTAACCATGTTGCTTGAATTGGGGATTTCCTGCTGTGACAGAGGGCATAGCAAGCCATCTTCTCTTATTTTGAAAATAATACCATGGCTTCCAGTCCTTCAGTTTTTCCAAGGACAATGTCAGGATAAGCTACATCTCTAAGCAGGTGGCTAGCAGTGTTGGGGGAGAAGTACAATGTTAACTGCAGGTGAATTCCTGAAACACCTGGAATTAAGCTATTTTAGATTGTTATGGAAGGACTGCTGGAGTTGCTTTAGTCCTAGCCCACACCCCAGTGAGACATGCAGGACAATGATCTCCCAGAGAAGCATCACGTGATTCTAATACACAGAGAAGATAAGTTAGTGCTTCACTAGGAGCATTTGTTTCTGCACTGGTATGGAGGCCCTCAGGCAGCAGTCACCTCCTAGGTTTAGATGAGCGGGTGAAAAATTCATCTTAAAATCAGGATATGTTGTTCTAGGACAACCAGACACTTGCTAATGACTGGTTTTTAATCAATCAGTAAAGGATTTAAGGTAGTAATACTGTATTTCACATCCTGCTAACTTGACATGGCTCAGGCAACCAGAGGGAATTTATCAGAGGTCAGCAAAAAAGAGGCCTCTGCCTGGCCTTCCGCTATATTTTGCTAATCAAGACTTATGGTAGGATAAAGCCTTGGAATAAAGACACTGCGCTCACCTCTAGGCTGCTTTAATCTCTGATTGTCATAGGCCCAGTAGAAAACTGGAATCCTGACTGAGATTAAGAATTAGGCATGAGCTTTAACAGAACATCTTAATCTCTCCTGTGGTTGTGTTTTGGGGTGGGGGAATATCATCATCCTCATGTAAAACAGAATCTTCCAAATGGGAAAATATTTCAAAAGCCAGCACAAATTATGTTAGAGATTTAGATTTTCTACAGGCTTTAGCTGAACACCTGAAACTTATTTGTGCCTTTGAAAATCTTCTTCCTCCTCATCTAATGACTGGCAGTTCTACACTGCAGGCTGTCAACTTCCCCAGTCTTCTGTCATATGCAGTACAATCTTTACTCACTGTTTTAAACAGGCTCTGGCCTACCTTTATTTATCGGTTTTGCCTGCCCAATTTCAGATGGCAACAGTGTCCATTGCCAGGGTTCAGATTGTGCTTGGCCCGAGTGTTTTCTGCCTGCGTGGCATGTTAGCATCCTGCTAGTGTTAGGTCCCTACATTTATTTGTGTGAGCTGAACAAATTCTAATGCCATTCTAGGTCATTGCAGGGTTGCACATGTGACTTTAATCTGGATTGTTCCCTCTGTCAGATTAGTTGGGGGAAAGGAAAATATAAAATCATGTTTTGCTTGTCAACGGTCATGGAGGCTACAGGAAAAGCTGTGATAAAATGTGAAGGCTGGAGTAGCGGAGCAGCTTTAGGAAAGGATCTCACTTGCCAAGGCATGAATACTGAGCATGATTAAAAAAGAAAACAAGTCATCTAAGGCAAAGGCTATTTGCTATCCACGTCTCGGAGGTTAAAAGTTACATGTATGCAAGAGATTTTAGCTATTTGCATCACATGAGAGTTATCAAACTTCTGATCAGACGTTCCCAAAACCTCAGTCCACAAGTGCTTTAGGATCAGATGCTGATGGTTCAGAGACAGCAGACTGGTCCCACAGACAAATTGGAGAGAGGAGATGAAGAATAATAGAGAACATGATTAATATTTTTCAAAGAAGGACAAACACTACTTATTGAATGAGGAAAAGCTAATATACACGCAGCACTTTTCAAATGTTCCTTTGCCATGTAAGTAATGGCAGTATTTGCCACAGGGACGTTATGTAATCACGAATGGGAGAGGTGTACATGATTGTGAATGGGAGCAGAGATGTTCATTAGGCACTTTATGTCAAATGGGCATGTGGTCTACCACGATGAATAAGTTTTAACCCACCTCTTGAAATCAGCCCCTGCATGTGCTGCCACCTGCTGGTATGTGTGTGAAATGGAACAGCAAATAAACCATGGCCTTTGGAAAAGGTTGTTTATAAAAATAATCTAGATGCATAGTAAGCAATGAAAGCGGAAGGCGTTAAATGTTTCACCTCTGGGTCTTTAATATAACCCAGATTTACCTCCAAACTTTGCTCAGAGAAGAATCAGCCTCAAGAAGAATTTTAAGTAAGAAATCTGTAAACAAATATGAAAACTAAAGACTATTCCAACACGGTATGTTTACCCAAGCCAAATAGTAAGTAAACTCACTGCAACCCTTTGCCACTATGCTATACTATCCTACTCGGTAGTTCCGGACAACTTTGATTATTAACTAGTAAGGAAAGGGATAAGTGAAAAGTAAGGAGGAGGGGGGAGGGAGAGATCTTAAATTAGGAAAACAATTCTCTTTCAACATTAGAGACAGCGTGGCTCCCTGAGATTCTCCCATGAGCACACTTTCAAAATAATCCTGTTTCTGTTTTAAACCCTAAACCAGATTTATCTTCAGAGTGATTTATCCCTCTGTTTGACAGGAAAAAAATTGCCCAGACATATCTCCAACAGCCTCCTCTCTGGTGCTTTATTCCTGAGCAACACCATCATATTTTAATTATGGGGTGGGAGTAAATATATACTGGTTTTTATTGTAACTGACAATATTTAGTTATTTAAAAAAAAAAACTCATAGAAGAAATGAAAAATAATACATCTAACAGGAAAGTCCTGACAGGGAACAAAACAGGCCTGAACATATTCAAACCCAACGTTTCTAGAAAGCATCATTTTTACCCTCTCTTCCTAGGAGGCAAAGCAAGTGTTTCTGGACTCTCATAAATAAGCTGATTTCGTTTTACGGTGAGAAGCTGAGTTCCTGTCTCTGAGATCCCAGCACACACACAAGTCATAGCGAGACAAAATGTTAACCATTCATGCTCCAGAGGTCATTCTTCACAGGTAACAAGACTAGACATCAGGCAATAAAATCCAACGGTCTGTTGAATCCGCCTTTTCTGTTCATGTACTGCCTGTGATGAGGGGAAAGAAATCAGCATAGTTAGAACTTAATTGTCTGTACTTGTGATGAGCTTTAGGGGCTCCAACCTACTCATATGGGATTGGTGTTTTTTTAAAGTGCTGATGGAAATCCAGCACAGGTTGGCTGGGACAGAACGCTGCTGCCACTCTACGACAGCTTGTCCGTTCCTTGTGTGACATGAGCTGGGTGTTCTCGAGACATACCAAAGAGGATTGGCACTAACTGGCATGTCTGATGGGAGTCTCAGCAAAGAAGTCATGATTGGATGAGCCATGGAGAACTCACCCAACCACTGGAGCTAATCACTACGGTCAGGTCTACACCAGCAAACCCTCCAAGTCTAGATTGAGCTTATATTGGCCAAAAAACAAAAACAGAGGGAGGGCAGGGGGCGCTTTGCCAGTATAGCTTTTCCTGAGGTAGTGAGCAAAATAAGTTATACCGACAAAGGCACTTTTATGCCAGTATAACTGGATCTGCAGTAGGGCTTTTGCCAGTTTAGAAATATTGACAAACCAGACAGCACACTCCTGTTATATTGGCAAAAGATTCTAGTGCAAACCTGGCTTATGTCAGGCTGAGGCACATTGGTCTGGAAGCTTACCATGCTGTTGCCAGGCTGTTCGTGTTCAATGGCTAAAGGACTTCAGTCCCCAGGGCCATCAATACAGTACATTTCACAGGTGCTTAGGTTTAACTTAGAGATGCAGGGTGTACAAAAGAGAAGGTAGGCTACATTTTTTAAGTAGTTACAAGAAGCAGAGGGAGAAGATTCCCAGGGCTGCAGTGACATTCTGTACCACTCTAGCCAAGTATTTACAGAGCGTTTATTGCCGCAGCATCTGAGCGCTGTACAAAGTTGCATATATTGAAACAGGGAGCGAGTGCACCTTTGTTCTTTGGTTCACTCCTCTCTCCATTAGCAATGGAGCTTTAGAGAAACTAGAGGCAAGAAACATAACTGTTTTGAGTAATGTATAACAACTGCTTAGATGTAAAATCAACAAGCACTCCTCAACGCAAATGAGAATGACCTCTCAGTCAATAAACCTAGAGACCGCCACACTTCTCACCAGGACTACAAAGCCTTCTCTGAATCAGATTGTCCTGGAAAAGAAATTACGTCTCCTCCAACATACCCATGCAGACATCAGATATTACAGCCTCCAAATCAAAGCAAGTCTGTCCAAGTGGTAGAAACACAAACCTGTACTTTCTCTTCTGTGACACGTTTATAGCGTAGGCATTTACAGAGCCATCCACTTTCTTCCCCTGAAAGATACAATGGGAAAGAGAGCTCCAAAATTCAGTGTGTTTTACAGAGAACTGTTCAATAAGAGGCACAGACAAGGGCACAGGTTGTGGAGCTGGGATCAGCACATCTAACCCAGTGTATGTCATTCTTAAGAAAGCCAACTTGAAACCAGAGACAAGGTGGGTGCGGTATTGTCTCTTATTGGACCAACTTCTGTTGGCGAGCGAGACGCGCTTTCAAGCTTACACAGACCTGAAGCCTACAACAACACTGCATGTAAGTTGAAACCAGTTAGTAGCAACTTTCTAGGTCTTTGCCAGGTTAGTTTTACAATGAAGATGCATGGAACTAAAAGCAACCCCCCTTTTCAGAAGCAATAACTACAGACCTAATCACTTGCCTAGGGTCACATCATATCACAAAGCTCAGTGTTAACTCCCATCTGCTTCCATAAAGAACAGTGGCAGGATACAGCTTTGTCTAACCAAGGCTGTAGCATGGATAGGAGACACTGTTGGAACATGTTTTTATGCATTGTAACCAGGCCTTCCCAGGGCTCTGAGTAAAAGGCACCTTAGTATCCATCAGGAATAGGAAGGATGGTTTAGTGGATAGGGCACTTGTCTGTGACTCAGGAGACCCGGGCTCAATTTCTGGCTCAGCTGCAGGCTTCCTGTGTGACCCTGGGCAAGTCACTTAACCTCTGTGTGCCGCAGTGCCTCATCTGTAAGATAGGGATGATACCACCCTCCCTCCCAGGCGAGTTCTGAGGGGCAAATAATGATTACAAGGTGCTCAGACTCTATAGTGTGAGTGGTGTATAGACAGATACTACAGTTATGATTCAATTAGCGCCAATAGGGTAGTAAATACTATGATCAGTATTAAGTGTTTGCAGGATCACACCCTTAGGGAGAAGTACAGAGTCATGCTAAAGGACTGATCCAAGCTCTGCAACTAATAGCCAGGAGCTAGCTGATTAAAAGCAGCAGAGGCAAGCAACAAGAAAATAAAATCAAGACATACCCATTTTTCCACAATAGAAGCCAATATAGGAAGCCCTGCTCCCTAGGAAACCCAAAGGGTTTAACATGTCACCTGAAAGCCAGTACCATTAGAAACACAGCACCACACTGGGGTATCTGTTCAAGTTCCAGGGCAACACTCCCTCTGTCCCAGCACAACACTGACTTGGCCCCACCTTACTTATCTTGTGAGGGCCCAGGGGCTCACAGCCCAAGGGGCAGGGCTGCCAATCACGACCAGTATGTTGACTTCCCATGCTAATTCTGTATTATAAGATGAATACTGGCTCTCTTCTGTAGTTCCTATCGACAATACTCTTCCGACGCAACATTTCAACACACTGATGAGTTATTTCTTGCCACTTACTGACAAATTCAAAAGCTGAGACACAGCCCTGTAGCATCGAGAGATTTAATGTTACGGTAAAACAGCTAACCTTCCTCCATCCTCTTGTAAAGGATTTTCCTAAACTTACCAAGATAGCTCGGCTATACCCAAGAATGAATTGTAAATATAATCAAGAAAAAGGCCATGACTTTTCACTCAAGTTCTATGGAACAGTCCACTCACTTTTGTTGTGTCAAAGGATGCAAATCCCATTGTTTTCATCATCTCAATTTCCTCCTCTGTTTTGCCTTCCATATCTTCTTCTGAAAAGACAGAGATACAAGAGGGATATGAAATACAATACTAGGAAAAATTACCAGGCACTCGATGGAAACTTATTGAACGTGCTGATTAGGAAGGTAAGGAATAAAGATTTGTGCATGTGACAAAAGCATTATGTGTATTGCAAAACTGGCTCTCTGGTCTGCCCAAACACAGCTCTGGAACAGAAAACTGGTCTAGGGGGTAGAGGAACAACGCAAGGTCAGATATGGCCCAAAAATTGAGGTTTCGCAGATGTTTGTTTTTACAGTATATGATAAAAATATTCCCAAGTTCATTTGCTTTTAAATGCCAAAGAAAAAAAACAAACATTCCCCTACAGTGTTTGAGACCCTTGAGCTAGCGGAGAACTGAGCAAAGAGAACAGCAAGAAGAGCACAAGGAAATTTAGATTTATTTTTAATCTCAGTCTTACTAATGTATTAGTTACCACACATGTGCATGGTGTTTTACAGATGAATAGGCATGCACGATCCCAGCACTCAGGAGCTGGCAATTTAGCCAGACAGAGATATATAACTAGAAGCATACAATGACAGGAGGCAACAGAAAATAGAAGGGAAACCTCCTCTAGGGGAGACACTGTGGTTTCAATTTCTTTTTTGGTTTTTACACATACACTTAAGATACTGGCTAAGTTTTGCTTTAAAATAAAGTATCTCAGATGACAGAGGAAAGTGAACTGCTTTGTTAGGAATGCAGACAAGAGTCATTGTCGTCCCCCCACCCACAATATGGCACTTTGGATGGGCTGCACAATATCAGGCAAACCACAACTACTACCTCATCCTGTGTGTGTGCTGCCTAATTCATTAACCTTTGTAAAGTGATTAGAGATCCTCTTAGATTAAAGACACTGTCAGGCCTTAGATCTTGGGATCAAATCTGTAAGGGCTGACTCTTAGGTCTGCATGGAGTCCCTTTGCAGTTAATGGGCCTCCATGAAGCTGCAAATGCCTGCCCCTGAAGTACCAATTGCAGAAATACTGGAGTTGCCAGATTCAATCAGACCCAAGGTGTATCTAGTTCTGTATCCTGTCTTGGACAGTGGCCAGCACCAGATGCTTCAGAGGAAAATACCAGAAATCCTACAGTAGGCATCATGAGATGATCTGCCGCACAAGAAGGTCACATCCTAACTCCTACTAGTTAGTGACTGAATTGTGCCCTGAAGCATGAGGTTTCATATCTCTTCTAGAACGTTTTTTGTGCATTAACTATGATTAAGCACATGGAGTGGGGCCTAAGGGGGCAAAGTATTATTAAAAAGGGTTGCACGGGTCCAGGACTGGGGTGCACTCACAGATGGGAAAGGAAAATCGAGGTAAAATTTGACTAGCACCTGCCTTTAGTAATCCTGGCTTATGCAGTTCCAGAGGCCCTCATTTTCACGGGCATCTACTCCATTTACCAATTTTATTTAGGTCCACTAGATTTTAACTGGTTCTCCACACATCAAGGTAAGATAAACACAAAGCCCCAATAGCCAGCTTTGCTTCCCAAGATTAGGACTCTGCTCTGTTACCGGTGATCTGATGCTCTTTGCTTTTAGCGTCTTTGTTTTCTTTCTTTTCATCCTCTCGCCTTTCCTTCTGCCGGGACGGGGAAGAAGAGCTGGATCTGTGCCGTCTCGGGGACCTAGAATTTCACACAAGTACAGATTTCAATCCAACAACAATACTCAACTACAATCCCACCTACAGCTTTTCGTGTGACACCCAGGAAGTAGAATAATGGTTATGTGGTGTTACAATGGCTGGCACTGTCTTAGATACAGGCAGAGGGGGCGCACAAGGAAACACTATCTGTTGACTCATCTTATCCTTAAACTGTAAACTCTTTGGGGCAGGGACCATCTTTTTGTTCTGCGTTTGTACAGCACCTAGCACAACGGAGCCCTGACCCATGACAAGAGACCACAGGTGCTAATGCACTCCAAAACAAACAAACAATCAATACAAGGCAGCATAATTTCATCACATTTGCCCTAGTTAAGTAAAGGACAACACAGGCTGAATATTAGTAAAGAGCCCCCTAATAGTAAGATCTGTCTGACTCTAGAATTGTTTTTTCTTCCCTTCAGCGTGCCCCATTTCCCACATCAAGGGACACTAGTACCCTGTTGATATCACTGTAAGAATGACACCAATAGGAACAGTGGGGGAATGGGGCTGTCAACTAGAAGCTCTGCTTATTGCCTTCAGAGAATTCAGATATTTTCTCCTCACCTGGATCGCCTCCTGTGTGGGGAACGGGAACGACTCCTCCTCCTGTCCCTCTCCCGGGACCTCGAACGCTCCCGTCGCCTCCTCTCCCTCTCCCGGGATGCAGAACGAGAGCGCCTACGTTCTGAAAGAAGCCATGATTGGGGAAACAAGTGGGGGTGCTGATTAGTGGTGGCTAGCTAGAACTGTCATCATCCTTGTTATAGTTTCAGTAAACCCCTATGTTTAGCTACGACTAAACTAAAAAAAGGGGGAAGGGATTTCTTCCATCCCCTAAACCTCAAGACTTCCTCAGGGGTAAAGAGGATTGTCCTAAGAGCAACAAGAGCAGAGAAGGAAAGACGAGGGACACATGACAGTACTTGTTGCAAAATTCTGAGTTGAACTTTTCAGAGGCAAAGAGAGGAAAAACGGTTAAGGCTCTATTACTAAAATAAAAATAGGGACCATCCCTCCTAACAGACAAGATCTTGGTCAGCGATCCACTGCCACAGGTGGATTGGATTCTAGGTCAGGCTTATTTCCATTCCTTTAACAGCATGCTCCCTTCCTTTGCTTTGCGGTGCATCTCCCCTCCACCCTTGTATCAGGGTAGGGATCAGAAATCCCCTCTACTGGAGGGAGGCAAAGCTCCCCTGTTACCCCCCGTATGCAAGTAGGTGTCCCCTTTACCCCGTTATCTGGCTTCACGGGGTCCCTTCCCTTGCTGCCGAGCGATCTCTGACTCCCCCCCACCCCCACTATCAGGGCAGAGATCAGAGAAATCCTGCCTTTCTTGGTGGGGTAATACCCCCCCCCAACAC